GACTCCAAGTTGTCCATCAGAGGCTAAACAAAGAAAGCAAAACATGACGTTAAAAGGTCCTGATTAGGAAGAAAAAGCAAAACAGCCTCACAGTTTTACAATTCTACCAAACAGTGAAACTGCAGTTTCCATTCATATCTCTCGACTATGTCATCACTTCATTACTTTATATTATTAGACATGTGTACAATATGTCACAATTAACAGATTAATTCTTGACTTAAAATGTATAGTTTGCAAGGTCATTGCATTTGACCATCAAAATCTAATCTGATGTTCCTTCAGTGATCCAACCAGACATAACTATACATCTAGCTATGGCTTCAGGTTGCACAGAGGCATACAAACGTGAGCATGAAAGGGTACTTCCTCACCTGTAGAGGTGACTGCAGGTAGTCTTCATAACCCTTAGCAAAGAGCTCGTAGGCATTGGGTGCAGGCCTGTTCTGGTTGAGGTACTCCAGGTACTGCAGGTAGGATCGGAAGTCCTTGTCAGTGTGCCGACTGGTGCCTGTGAAGATGAACTGGGCCTCCAACTAAAAAAGGAGATCATTTTAATTTAAAGATTTATTTTTTCAAAAGTAGACAAAAAACAAAAAAACAACCTTTTTGTATTTGATTGCAGATTGTTTGATTTTAACAGAACTCAATCTATGAATGTTATTTTATACCTTGAAGAGTCGAAAGATTATTCTCTGATGGGCTTTCGACAAAACAGGGAAGCCCTTCTTATTGGTTAGGAAGATGCTGGTGGGGAGAATGGCTGCTTTGATAGGTTCTCCGAGCCATTTATCAATCACAGTGTCTGATGGCATATCTGGTCCAATGTCAACCGCTTTAGGAATACAAACGAAGCACAATCTCAGTAACAGACAGGAGCATAATTATTTCTCAATGCCCGAAGTTTGCCCCAGGTTGCTGCTTCACAGTGTGTTCTCTCACCAAGACAGATTCTCTTGTTGTAGTCACAAAGGGTTCTGAATGAGTTCCACCTATGAAAAAAAAATGAGGTAAGTAAACAAAGAGAGACAGTGTTTTAAAGGAAATCAATAGTAACCGTTTCAGCATGCAGACGGCACTCAGTTGCTCAGGAAGTGCCGTGGCATGAAACTAACCAGCTCCAAGTCTTCTCATCAACGCTTGTGTCATCAGTACAAGAGATCGGTTCATTCTCAGTCAGATCTTCCCGCATGTCCTCTGACGCCATCAGTGGGACGCGTATCCAGAACTAATCAACAAAGAGGACAGCAGCAGTTAAATGAGCACTTCCACTGTCTTGACTTTTCTGACATCTTAATACAGTCTTTGTGTGCTTGTTGATTCCTGATGTGCTGCGTCTTACATTTGAGGTGTGATGTCCAGTGTGGATGTGATTTAGCAGCACTCGGGCTAGATTGGCATTACTGAGGCCCTTCAGAGGGATCATGAAGACAGGCAGGCCCAGGTAGGCGGAGAAGTTTAGCTCCTGGGCAAGAGCCTGGAGAGGAACATGGGAAAACAGATAAGATAAGCATTAAAAAGATGACACGATAACCTCACTCATATCTCAAGATCAAAGAACCCTCACAAGCACCATCAAACTCAAAGAACTTACAGCCTCTGAGTTTCTGCGTTCTGTCTCGATTTCTGAATCTGCATCGATCCATGGAGAGAGCTTCCCAACGATTAGAGTATTCCAATCTAGACAGAACAAAAGGACAGTTTAGAGAAAGCATCAAACACCTAACCATTTTACCTTTATGCTAAAATCACATTCTTCTGATGATGAGTATTTAATACAAAATATGAAAATGATTAGAATTAGTGTCTTAACATCTACTTTCCTTCTTAGGCTGGGCTTTAGCAGAACAAATGGTATTTTTAGGATTGGTCTTTCAGCACAACCTACCTACTTTCTGATGAGATTTAGTTTGCAGACAGATGTCCTGACATAAAGACTTCATTGCTCCATTAATTTTTGGCAAACTCCCGTGCTTCAGATGCAGCAAAACAGGCCCTGACCATGATAATACCACCACGCTTTTATGCTTTAATGCGGTGTTTTCCTTACTCCAAACAGTCTTTTAAACGTAAACTAGAAAGTTCTATTTTGGTCTCAGAAGCCCACATAAGATTGTTCAAATGCTCAGTATTCTTTTTGCAGAGTAGCTGCTCTCTTTTTGGTGCCCTGCTATGAACAACACGTTCAGATTCTGTAACCCTTTCCATCCCGTTGAACATCAGCAGTTCCTTCCTGAATCTTTCTAAAAATCTCATTTATGCCATGACACACTTACACAAACGTATGTCGTCAAACTTTGATAAATTTATGTTCTATGAATAAAAAGTAATTTACTGAGAATTGTAAAGGTTGCAGTGTTTTTGGTTTAACAGACCTAATAAGTTAATTTCCACTTTTAGGACTGTAAAAACTGACTATGCTTAAATTTATTTAATATTACATTTAAATAGAATTTAAAGTGACCTTGACCCCCCCCCCCCCAATAAATAAAGGGCACCAGTAGACCCCACCATGCCCAAAAATACCCTGCACAGAATAACACACTCAGTGTTTCCTCTCACTTTAGGGGGACTGATGATTTAATAGCTAGTAATGCCTCAGGCTGCAAAAGACAAAGGGGCAGGGAAACTGACCTCTGCCACATAACAGCAGGTCCGACCGGGTCTGGGCTCCAGGTCGGGATTTAGCGGGCTCCAGCTCATATTCCCTCCTGAACCTCGGGTGGAAGAGAGGCATGCACAGAAAGTCGAACCTGGATACCAGAGGAGGGAAGCACTTCAGTTAACATTCAAAATATTTATAATATCAGCACGAAGTAAAACACAAACTTGTTTTCTAAGTAATCCTCCACACTGCTCAAATATACTATGGGAGTAGGCAGAGCCTGTGTACTGCACACTTCACTACAGTGTCAAGCATCATTGTGATTCGGGCACGTGCTGGTAATTCACCGGCTAGCTTAGCAACCATCATGCACTGAGAACGTGCTAGCAAAGCAGCGCGTTCTGCTCATAAGCTCATTTCAGCTAAACAAAAATTACATGTAGAATCGAAAAACCATCTTACCCAAGTTTGGCGACCGCGGATAACGTGTCGGCTATCTCTGGCACACAATTCAAATCTCTCCCGCAGGACACCCTGCTCCCTGTGCTGGCAGACGCCATGACTTTAGCCGACTGAATGAATTGATTTCTCGGACTTTCACATTGCTCTGCCTTTAGAAGAAACTGGCGCCATCTTGGCTCCTAAGGATTGCAATGCTTGCTGGCTAGACAGAACCAAGATGGCTAATGAGTGCACAAGTTGCATATCGCGTACATTGTCGCGATAATTGTGCACCGAGCGTTGTTTAAACGTTGCCATTTGATGTTTCACGGCGACTTCTTTTTCCAAGACGAACAGCTTGCTGTACTTTGATAGAGAAAATAAAAACCAGAAACCAGATTTGAAAAATAAAAACCCGGCAAGCCCTTCCTCCACTGTACAAATACAAAAAATTATTTACTACTAGCTGATAATGGGGACAATTTTTTATTTTTTATTATATTTAATTTTATGCTATGTTATTTTATTTTTTTAATATACAGATGAAAACATATTGTTTTGTGCTGCCTGTCTGTTACTCTTTTAAATGTGCTGACAGCCTCCCGCAGCTCGCTGCACTCTACAGTACATGGACGTCTTGCTTCTGCACACATTGTTAACTATTGTATAGTTAAACAAACATTGACCAGAAATTATTTAGATAGAGACTTTTTTAGACCCACTCATTAAGAAGCAATAAAACACCACAAAAACACTTCCCTACTCATAAAATTGGTTTATTTGGCAATTTGTTCATAAATAACTAAAATTAAAAAATATTTTTTCAGCAGAAAATTCAGTGTTATGTGAAATAACATTACTGCTGAAGATGTTTTATCCTCAGATCATTTTAAAAATGGCATGCTTTATTTAATCATCAGTAATTTGTGATATTCTTTAAAAGTATGTCTGTAGTTGCTGCTGGCCAAGGTGGTCAGTCAGATAAAAACTTGTCTGTTATGATGATATATCACAGAAGCTCCTCTATTTGCCAATTCTGGTTGTGTTTTCACATGCGAACACAACGAGAAAACGGTGCAGGTCTCTGACACTGACATATGTGAAACGGAAACACCTACAGTTTCCATTGGGATCCAGGCAGGCGTGCTTTGTGGAAAGTACAATAGCCAGTTGCAGCCTACCGATGACAGTGTTGTAAAAGATGGATGAAAACAAGCAACAAAGTTTTATGACAGAATGCTGTTTGAGATGAAAGGCAAAAGATCACTTTCACTTTGGTACGTTTTGATTGATTTCTATTTATAGATTCAACTAGGCAGCACCGCTTGCTTTGCTTGTCCTTACTGAACTCCACTTGTAGGACTTGCAGAAAGTGGCTTCTGCGGATATCAGGTTCACAGCATGTAGGCTAAAATATCACTTACATAAACCATAAATGGTTTTGGATATGGAACACGGCGTGTGTATATGTGTGTGTTTTTCTACCAGCTGTCACACCTGCATGAGCTATAAAAGCGCAAGAACTCAGAAGCAGATGAGAAAGAGTAGCAGCATCCGCCCTCTACAAACCAGATCTGTTTCTTTGACACTTAAGATTGTGTTTGATCAGCTTTTCAGTGGATAGACTGTGTTTGAGAACAACTTTTGTTTACTTTTCAACAGAAAAGATGTTCTGATTTTGTGATCAAGTATCTGTGTCTACACCATCATGGCTTTGGAAGATGTTTGCAGCTTCAAAGAAAGGCCGGTGCAACATAAATGGTTTTCTTTTTCATCTCTGGGGGACGCAGCAATTCCATTTCCTACGAGTGACTGTTACAACCTAAGATACTCAAGACTGGAAACATCTGAAAACAACTGTGGAGTTCCACTGCATTTTTTTATACCACCTCTTCCACATTCCTCCTCTTTCATCAACAGACCGTTGTCATCCTTCTGCCCACCCAAAAATTCAATGACAGTCCAGAAGCCTTTCCGTTTGGCTCATGGAACAACAACCCTGGGTTTCATCTTCCAAGGTGGGGTAATAGCAGCAGCAGACACACGTGCCAGTGCCGGGGGGCTTGTTGCCTGTCCGGCTGTTCATAAGATCACCCCTATTCACTCTCATCTAGTGGTCACATCTTCTGGTAGTGGTGCAGATTGCATGCTGTGGGAGAGAATTCTGATTAGAGAGATCAGACTGTACCAGTTACGGCATGGACATCGCCTTTCAATACGTGCCACAGCTAAGCTCCTTTCATCTATGCTCCATCCTTTTAAAGGTACTGAAATGTGTGTTGCTCTTACACTGTGTGGTTGGGATAAGCAAGAGGGTGCCGTTGACTGTGCAACAAGTTTGGAAGACTCACCCTGGATGACTGATGATAGCTCCTTGGCTGTTTTTAGTAACCAAAACATTACTGCAACAACTTCTCCAAACAGCGGTCCAAAGCTTATATATGTGTGCAGTGACGGAGCCCGACTGCAGGGAGATGTCTTCTCTGTGGGCTCAGGCTCACCTTATGCTTATGGAGTCTTGGACAGAGAGCTGAGGTGGAGCCTGAGTAAAGGAGAAGCCATCTCATTAGCAAGAGAAGCAGTGTTCAGGGCCACTCACAGGGATGCCTACTCGGGGAACAATGTGGATCTTTTCCACATCACAGCACAAGGATGGAGCCAGAGAAAGAGAGAGGACTTGAAAGAAGAATATTACAGAGATAAAGAAAAGAAGGGAAAGAAAAAGAATGACAAACTCAAATAATACTCAATAATCAAAAGCATTTATGTGTGGGAGGAAATTATGATGTTATATTTATCATTGAAAAGTAAATTTAATAATAATCACACACATTTACACTCTGATGGATGGATCGGAGAGTAACTTGGGGTTAGTATCTTGCCCAAGGATTCTTGACATGCAGACTGGAGGAGCCTGGGAACAAACCACCAACCTTCTGATCAGTGGGTGACCTGCTCTACCTCCTAAGCTACTAATGGGCAAGCACAGTGGCTTGAGGTTAGCGCTGTTGCCATACAGCAAGAAGGTCCTGAGTTCGATTCCACCATCTTTCTGGGGTCTTCCGGGGTCTTTCTGTGTGGAGTTTGCATGTTCTCCCTGTGTTTGCGTGGGTTCCCTCCAGGCACTCCGGCTTCCTCCCACTGTCCAAAGACATGCAGTTTGTGGGGATAGGTTAATTGATTAATCTAAATTGCCCATAGGTGTGAATGTGGGAGTGAATGTGAGCGCAAATGGTTGTCTGTCTCTGTGTGTTAGCCCTGCGACAGACTGGCGGCCTGTCCAGGGTGTACCCTGCCTCTTGCCCTATGACAGCTGGGATAGGCTCCAGCGCCCCCCGCGACCCTGAAAAGGATAAGCGGAAGTGAATGGATGGATGGATAATAATAATGATAATAATAATAATAGCTGTGGAATAAAAGGTATTTCCTTTACCTCACACTTTTTTTAACCAATACACCGCCACAGACACAGGGGGCGCTGTTTGATTTTGTTACCGTGACAGAATAAAAAAAACTACCGCGGCGGATGTTGCTTGTTCATCATACATTTTCAAAGATGGCCCTTGCTAGTGTGTTGAGCGGTGATTCTGCGGATTTTTCGTTTGATAGTAGCCAGTCCTTTGCTTTTGGTGGCGGACCCGGACCAAGAGGTCTGGGGTTAGAAGGCACGCCCGAGGACAGCCTCAGTTTTTCCGTTAAAAACCCGCTGTGTGTCGGAGACGATGATGGCGTCGAAAGGAAAATAGAGTTTCTGCATGGAACCACCACCTTAGCATTCAAAGTAAGTTAACGGTCCAGTTATTGTAGCTATATGGTATAAGAAACCCCAGTAGCAGTTGTATACCTGTCTAAACTAGACGTTTGATAAATTTTGACTTTACATATCATACGCTAGGGTTTCCGGTATAAATTGTCTCTGATGTTAGCATGCTAGCGTGGCTACAAATCGCTTTCTCATGACAGATGTGCATGGTACACGAGATAGGTGATGTGCACTTAAGTAAACGTAAACAAGTAATCTCTCTAATATGTTTACTATGTATAGTATTAAGACAAATCGTGAATTACGTAGGCTTACGTTGACGTTTCTCAGTCAATTTAAAAGCAAAAATGTGGGTGTTTTAATAACATAGTCACGTGAATTTATATAGTAGGAAATCTGACGTGTTCTTCCGTAAAAAGTGCAGCAAGTACACACTTTTTGATGGTTACAACTTAAAAGAGCTACCTAAACGTGTGTTATTTCCAAAGTGATTTGTGCTGAGTATGTAAATGTATTTCATCCATAGGAGAGCCTAACCGACACAGGATATTTTGGCTGATAGTATACATTTTTAAGGGTTTTAAAATAAACTCGTGCCTTTTATATACTTGAAATATGTCCAGTTATATACTGAAAAGGCAAAATGGATGAAAATAGTGCGTTCCTCACAAACTAATCGCCTACCACCTCTTCAACTTGAACCCCAACTTTTAGACACTGTGTAGCGTGTTGTAAACAACAGAAGCAGCCCCAGGTGTTGGGGAAAGTACACGGAGAGACCATTTCTCACTTATCTCGAGTATCGTTTTATATATTTTGCTCCGAGGAACGTACACATGTCGAGAAATATAGTAAAATAAAAATGTAGTTGACCTGTCTTAAAAAAAATAAAAAAATAAATTGTAATTGATACTGGCCAACTATGTATTAATCAAAAACAATTTACTATCAAAAGAATATTACATCATTGCTACCTTTTTGTTAAGACAATTTGCAACACATTTCTGTCAATATTAATTAAATGCATACATGAATGAAATTTGCAAGTCCATATCTTTACATCACATCATGTTAGGGGTTAAAATGTGATGATCTTTCATTATTATGTCATTACTATGTTCAGTGACGTTGCAGTAGGAAGGAGAAAAGCACAAAGGCCCTTTAATAAGATTCCTGTTAATTGTATTCAGATATATACATGTATAATGTGTTGAATGAATTAAAGTCACACTTTCTGTGAGTCTTCTTTTCAACTGTGAGTTCTCCATACCTGCTTTTCTAAATGTTATTGTTAAAACACACATGAAGTTTTGATGGAAGAAGACGTGTATTCGATTAGTCATGACTGTGATGCGCACAATAAAAACAAACTTGCATGCTCACGAAAAGAAGCCAAGAAATCTCTAGAAAGTGGAAATGTTCTTTTTGATGTTGTACATCAAAGTAGAAAATCTAAAAGGGGGGAAAATAAATCTTGATTTCTAGAAAGTTTAAGGCTTGCTGTTGTTTTTTTGTGCTGTAAAGATTTAAGCAGTGTCTCTGAGGATACATTTATTTGTAATTAACAATCCTTCCCTAAAAAACCACCAAGATTCCATTGACAGGCTTATAAACTGGCATGTACAATTGGCGATGCATAAATACATTCTGCCTGTGTGCCGTAGAAACCCCCGATTGAAAACATTTAAAACAGCATGAAAGAGCCTTGCTGTTGATTTGTCATCACAATTGAAAACAGCCATTGTAGTCTTCTCCCTCAGTTTGTCAAACGCTGTGGAGCAGTGTAAATACAGAACCCTGCTGATGGCTTTTGTCTCTTCAGGGGATTTGTTGATACAAGTAAAAGATAAAAATAACGCCATCCTTATCCCTTAATCCCTTAATGAAAACATCCCCCACAGACATCTCCCTCTGACTGGCCAAATCTGTTGTCTACTATACTTGCTTCTGTGACTGTCAGTTCGCTGATAGAGGATTTTGGAAGGAAGAGCAAAAGTCTTTCCTCTTATCCAGCAGCTTTCTGCTAGAGCCGAACCGTATATTGCACCTCTCTGACAGCTGTAGAGCAGCAGCTCTTTTTTTTTTTTTTTTGGCCTCATTTAGGCAGAACTGCTGCAAGCGATCTCTTACTTAAATTTAGAGCAAGTGACTATTCTGTTAAAAGAAGTGGATGTAGGGGAGGGCATTAAAATGTATTATGCACTGGTAAGTAGTGTAGCTGTTTAAGAGAGAGGGGCACTGATTGCAAAGTTCTGGGCCACTGCTAATGTTTAAAATGACAATTTGGCTGCGAGCCAGTTCCAGTTGATTTTAACTGTTTAACCCAACAGATCGATCGATCACTGACATCGGTAAATGCCATCTTTGTGTCTTTTCTTAATCAATGTACTGATATCAGTCTATATATCTAGTACTTTAAACATATGGTTTTGTGAGGAACTTGTGGAAATGTGGGCTACCCGACCCATTTTTTGACTGCTGTTTCCCCTCTCAGTTCCAGCATGGAGTTATCGTTGCAGTGGACTCTCGAGCCACAGCGGGCTCCTACATCGCGTCACAGACGGTCAAGAAGGTGATTGAGATCAACCCCTACCTACTGGGTACTATGGCTGGAGGAGCTGCAGACTGTAGCTTCTGGGAGCGCCTGCTGGCCCGCCAGTGTCGCATCTACGAGCTTCGCAACAAGGAGCGCATCTCAGTGGCAGCCGCCTCCAAGTTGCTTGCTAACATGGTGTACCAGTACAAAGGCATGGGACTTAGTATGGGAACCATGGTCTGTGGCTGGGACAAGAGAGGACCAGGTAACATCAACAGTTATATCTGACATGGACATGTCATTTTGTCTGGTTATAAACTGATCTAGATAGAATTTGTACTACTTTAAACTGTACCAGTATCAAGATATGCAGTGCTTCCTTGAACTGATTGTAGGACAATTTGTATAGTGTCAAATCAAAACAACATTTTCCTTGAGGCACTTTCTAGTGTAAGGTAAAGACCTTACAGTAATACAGAAAACCTATAATGGTACAGTAATAAACATATTTTAGCTAACATTCACCCACATTCTGTCTACAATGAATATATCAGAAGCAGCTTGGGATTCAGTGTCTTGCCCACAGATGCTTTGGCATGGAGACTGGAGCAGTCAGGGATTGAATTACCAACCTTCCAAGTAGTAGATGACCTGTTCTACTTCCTGAGCTCCATTATCTCCCCTAATGGGGAGATAAAACTGGCAATCTGGAATCAAGTTGACCTCATGAAAAACTATGCAGTCTGTGAAAATTGTTCTTGAAAATGGTAAATTTGGAGAAAGAGCAGCAGAACGACATCCACAGGGAATACAGGGAAAGAGGCTTTCTGGAGATGGAGCTGAATGTGTAGCCAAATTAGCCTCCTGTCAAAACAGGAGAGTCCAGGTGGTTAGCAGCTAAACTTTAAAAATATAAAAGAGGGGATTGTGAACTGGTGAATGTATGCTGATTTTGTCTTACTCAAAAAAAAGTCCCTAATATTCTTGTATGGGATATAAATGTTTAATCTCTTTGTTGCCGTTTGTGATTCAGCTTTTAAGTAATGCACTTAAATCTACTCAACACACATCAGCTTTTCTCTCTTGACATATGCTAATGGGTCTGTTTTTATGTGAAAGATTATTTTGGCAGCTTAATCATGCATCGGTTTTGTTTCTCAGTGTTGTCAAAGATCCTTAGTCCCAGGCAAATTTCAAAGAGGCTTCATTATTCATTCATTCTTCATTATTTTTTAAGCATGAGTTTGGACATGAGTGGTTAGCTGTTTATTATTTAAATGAAATATACTACAGCTGGGCTGTGCGGATAATTATCATTTAAGAAAAAAACAAACATATGCATTACTCCGGGTTAGCCACTAGGTGTCACTGCAGCCTTTCTTTTGCTCTGTCTGTTTTAGTACCTTAAGCTGTGGCTTTTGAATACCACACAGTGTGAGGCTGTACATCACAGGTGTGCGCTTAAAGAGGCCGCCACGGTGACACAGTAATGGGAAATCGATGAGGCTGGGACTGCAGGCCAGTGAGAGCACGGTGGGATGATGGACATTGGGTCTCAGCCCTGGACAACTGGGTCGTATGCATAATGGCCATACACGTGCTGAGATCGATGGTGGCTTTGTATGGAAAGCCAAGAGGTCTCTGTGAACAATGACAGCCCGCTGGTATGCCAACAAACGCAAATGACACGTGTTAAATCCCGGGCAATCAATTGGGGAAATAATGATCCCTGTATAAGTTCAATATGTATGCGGGCTTTGCCATGGTTCCCACAATGCCAGTGATTGAACGGAGAGGTAAATGTCATGTAAATTAAATCAATCACGATTAGGTGGGAAGCTCATTAACCAGCTACAATCATGTCAGGCACTTATTCCCCTGATGAAGTGTCTTAAGCTCCATGCAGACTAAATTGAATAAAAGCGACATTGAGGAGCTTGACAAATATGGCTCAATGTAATAACATTGCATGTTATGACACTCACATAATCAGGGCACGGTTAATGCTTGATAGCTGGATAGCGGCTTTGGCTTTGACAGAGGAAAAAGTGATTGTACCTTGCGTGGCACCCCCCCCAGTGCTCTCTCTAAAGACATCAAGGCTTCGTAATGAGCTGATATGTGATCCACTGAAATGTAGCGTCATGGCGACAAAGCCGAGCAATGTTTGATACGAGTCCTCATCAAAGAAGACCCATGTGGCTGTCGG